ATTGGTGTCCTCTTATCCCCATTGGTGTCACCTTGTCCCCATTGCTGCCATCTCATCCCCACTGGTGTCACCTCACCCCCACTGGTGTCCCCTTATCCCCACTGGTGCCACCTCATTCCCATTGGTGTCCCCTTATCCCCACTGGTGCCACCTCATTCCCATTGGTGTCACCTTGTCCCCACCGGTGTCCCCTTATCCCCATTGGTGCCACCTCATCCCCATTGCCACCACCAGCCCCAAGCCGCCTTTCCCACCCATCAGCACATCCCTGGGCTGCCCCTCGTGCCTCAGTTTCCCATCTCAGCACGGCGCCGGTGTTGGGAAGGGAGGAGCTGGAGCCGAGGGGATCCCACAGGGAGAATCCCACAGGGGGGATCCCACAGGGGGGATCCCACAGGGGGGATCCAACAGGGGGGATCCCACAGGGAGGATCCCACAGGGGGGATCCCACAGGGAGGATCCCACAGGGAGGATCCCAGATCCCACAGGGGGGATCCCACAGGGCGGATCCCACAGGGGGGATCCCACAGGGCGGATCCCACAGGGGGGATCCCACAGGGCGGATCCAACAGGGAGGATCCAACAGGGCAGATCCCACAGGGAGGATCCCAGATCCCACAGGGAGGATCCCACAGGGAGGATCCCACAGGGAGGATCCCAGATCCCACAGGGGGGATCCCCGAGGGGGGATCCCCCATCCCAAGGCACAGGGAGGGAGGGAGGAGGGAGGAAGGGGCTCCGGGGGCTCGGGGCACGCATTAAGGATGTTTGTTTTGCCTGTTTTGCAGAGTTTCAATGTTCTGACTTGCTCTAAGATGAAGGTATGGAAGTTTGCAGCCATTGCATCGATGCTCCTCAGTTCCATGTTATCCATTTTAGTTTGTAGAGACATGTTCAGCGGAAGCCAGGAATTCAGCCCCTTGCCTTCCTCGCCGTCTTCCTCACGGGATTCCTCCTCCTCCTCCTCCTCTTCTTCCTCCTCCTCCTCCTCCTCCTCCTCCTCGCTGCTGGCGGCTCCGCGGAGATCCCCACGGGCCCTGCAACGCCACGGCTCTCTGCTGGCCCAGTGTAAGCTCCTGCTCCCCCATCCCGGGGTCATTGTCCCCCCCGGCCCCAAAGATCCCCCAAATCCCTCTGGGGTCATTCCCTGCCCTCTCCTGCATCCGAACATCCCCTTTGGCAGGGTTTAAACAAGAACTTGGGACGAGCAGGGGGCACTGGGCACCAAACTTTGGTGTGAACACAGCGGCTCTCCACAGAGGGAAACTCAAACAGTTTGAGCAAAGAAAGCTGCTTTTATTCCCTTCCAAATGGCTCTTTTTTGATAATTTTTTTTTTTTTTTTTTTTTTTTTTTTTTTTTTTGTTCCGTGCTATTTTTTACAAATGGAAAATGTCAAACGGGAGCTGAAGATGAGGGCACGGCAGCAGCTCCCCCTGCTCACCCCTCGGTGCTCCCTGAGGGCTGGAAATCCCCACGTGTTTGTTTTGATTCCAAACCAGAGGAACTGCTTTTTTTGGGGTGGAAATTTGGAAATCGTTGACAAGCTGTCAAATCATGCTTTCCTCTGTCTTTCCTGTGCCTCCTGCGGAGCTGAGCTGGAATAACCCTGGATTTCGGGTTGGGACAAAGGGATGTGGGTGGTGCCAGCACTTTGTGTTGGCTGCTGGCCCTGGGGACTCAGGGGCAGCCCTTGGGGTCTTGGGGCTCCCAGACCACAGTGAAACAGTGCAAAAAGGAAATTTATTGGGGCTTCTCCCCAAATCCACCCGCCCCAAGGGACCTCCATCCTCAGGGATGTTCACCCAGCCAAGGGAATTTTTGTTCCGGAATTTTCCTCCACCTTAAGGCACCTGGAGGTTCCTCATCCATGGAGGATCTCCCATCTCAGGTGGCCTCCATCCAGGTGGATGTTAACCCACCCTGGGAATCTCCATCCTTGGAGTCATGCACCCCAAGGAACTTTCTTCCTGGAGGATGTTTACCCACCCCAGGGAATCTCCATCCTGGGGAATGTCCACCCACCCCACGGAATTTCCATCCTAAGGTTATCCACCCACTCCAGGGAATCTCCATCCTGGGGGATGTTCATGGGGGATGTTCACCCACTCCAGGTAATCTCCATCCTGAGGTTATCCACCCACTCCAGGGAATCTCCATCTTGGGGGATGTTCACGCACCCCAGACAATCTCCATCCTGGGGAATGTCCACCCACTCCAGGGAATCTCCATCCCGAGGCTACCCACCCACCCCAAGTCACCTCCATCCCGGAGGACCCCGAGACCCTCACCCATGGAGGATCTCCCATCTCAGGCCACCTCCACCCACCCCATCAACCCCCACCCGCCCTGGGGACACCCGCTAACGGCGTCCCCTCCTCTTGCAGACGGCGCCTTGCTGGAGAGCTACACGGAGGGCGAGATCCGCCAGCTGATCTCGGCGCTGGTGGAGCGCTACCGCCAGGCCATGAACTCGGGCGGGCACGAGCTGCCGCTGTTCCCTCGCGCCGGCAGCCGCAGGAAACGCGCCCGCGCCCGCCACAAACCCTGCGAGCTGCGCGAGCTGGAGGTCAGCGTCAGCGAGCTGGGCCTGGGCTACGAGTCGGACGAGACGGTTCTGTTCCGCTACTGCAGCGGCACCTGCGAGGCCGCCGTGCGCAGCTACGACCTCTCCCTCAAGAGCATGAGGAGCCGCAGAAAGATCCGGAAGGAGAAGATCCGGGCCCGGCCGTGCTGCAGGCCGCTGGCCTACGACGACGACGTGTCCTTCCTGGACGCCTACAACCGCTACTACACCGTCAACGAGCTGTCGGCCAAGGAGTGCGGCTGCGTGTGACGGGGCCACCCGGGCACGGGGACCGGGATGGAGGCTGGAGCGGCCGGAGGAGGAGAGACTGAGCTGCCGGCGTGTCCCTCGGTGCCGCCGGCGTGTCCCTCGGTGCTGCCGGCGTGTCCATCGGTGCTGCCGGCGTGTCCCTCGGTGCCACCGGCGTGTCCCTCGGTGCTGCCGGCGTGTCCCTCGGTGCCACCGGCGTGTCCCTCGGTGCTGCCGGCGTGTCCCTCGGTGCAGCCGGCGTGTCCCTCGGTGCCGCCGGCGTGTCCCTCGGTGCCGCCGGCATGTCCCTCGGTGCCGCCGGCGTGTCCCTCGGTGCTGCCGGCGTGTCCCTCGGTGCCGCCGGCGTGTCCCTCGGTGCCGCCACCACGCCGGCCGCGTGGGACTAGAGACGCGGCCGCGGCGGAGGCGGCTGGAGCGGTGACGGCGGCTTGAGGCTGTTGTCCCCTCCGCGGGTGGCCCGGTGGTCCCTGCTGAGGTGACAGTGGGTGTGCAACGTGCGCGGGGCGTGCCCAGCCCTCAGCGCGCGCGGCCCGCACGGCGTCACGCCTGTCACGCGTGTCACGCGTGTCACAGGCCACGTTACCTGCACAGGGGGACCCGCATGTGTCAGGGTGTGGCACAGGGGTGTGACACAGGGGTGTGACACAGGGGTGTGACACAGGGGTGTGGCAGGCGCAGGGGGTGTTGTGAGCAGTGCCGGTGCTGTGTGGTACTGGGCAGGGTGTGGTGCACTGTTTTGGGGTGTGCTGCACAATCCAGGTGTGTTTTG